CTTCGTCCTTTTCGTACTTTTCGTCCTTCGTCCTTTTCGTCCCTCGTCCTTTTCGTCCTCCGTCCTTTTCGTCTTTCGTCCTTCCAATCTTTCAATTTTCGAATTTTTGAATTTTGCGATTTTTCAATTCTACATAATTTCGTTTTATAATTTTTTGATTTTACAGCTTTCAAACTTCAAAATTTTTCTATTTCTTAATTTTTCGATTTTACAAGTTTTCGTTTTTTCAAACTTTATTTGTTCGATATTTTGAGTTTTTTGATTTTCACTTTTGTTGTTTTTCGTTTTTTTAATTTTTCATTTTGGAATTTTTCGTTTTTTCAGTTTCTCAAGTATTTCGTCATTCGTCCTTTTCGTTTTTTTCTCTCCTCGTCCTTCGTCATTTGTCCTTTTCGTCCTTCGTCCTTTTCGTTCTTCGTCCTTTTCCTCCTTCGTCCTTTTCATCCTTCGTCCTTTTTCGTCCTTCGTTCTTCGTCCTTTTCGTCGTTTATCCTTTTCGACCTTCGTCCTTCGTCCTTTTCGCCCTTCGTCCTTTTCGTGCTTCGTCCTTTTCGTCCTTCATCCTTTTCGTCCTTCGTCCTTCGTCCATCGTTCCTCGTCCTTCGTCCTTCGTTCCTCGTCTTTCGTCCTTTTCGTCCTTGGTCCTTCGTCCTTTTCTTCCTTCGTCCTTTTCTTCCTTCGTCCTTTTCGTCCTTCATTTTTTCGTCCTTCGTCTTTCGTCCTTCATTTTTTCGTCCTTCGTCTTTCGTCCTTCATTTTTTCGTCCTTCGTCTTTCGTCCTTCGTCCTTCGTCATTCAACTCTCGTCCTTCGTCCTTTGCATCCTTTTCGTGCTTCGTCTTTTTCGTCCTTCGTCCTTTTCGTCCTTCGTCCTTTTCGTTTTTCGCCCTTTTCGTCCTTCGTCCTTCTTCCTTTTCGCCCATCGTCCTTCGTCCTTCTCGTCCTTCATCCTTTTCGTTCTTTTCGTCCTTCGTCCTTCGTCCTTTTCCCTTTTCGTCCTTTTCGTCCTTCGTCCTTTTCGTCCTTTTCGTCCTTTCATCCTTTTCGTCCTTTTATTCTTCGTTCTCTCATTTTTCGTCCTTTCATTCTTTTCCCTTTTCGTCCTTTTCATCCTTCGTCGTTTTCGTCGTTTTCGTCCTTTCATCCTTTTTGTTCTTTCATCCTTCGTCTTTTCATCTTTCGTCCTTTCATCCTTCGTCCTTTTCGTTCTTTTCGTCCTTCATCCTTTTCGTTTTTCGTCCTTCGTTCTTTTCGTTCTTCGTCCTTTTCGTTCTTCGTCCTTTTAGTTCTTCGTTCTTTTAGCCTTTTATGTCCTTTTCGGCCTCGTTTATTCCTCCACTGACCAAAAAAAGAAAAAAAACTTCGACTAAGTTACAGTTCAACCATGTGCTCCGTTTGAAAATACGCTTTCAAGATGGCTGCTGCCAGAACAAAGAATTTACCTGATGTTAAATTACGCCACACTGTATCAACGATTCAAACAAAGAATTTACATTATGTTGGATGATGTCACTTTATCAACGATTCAAACAAAGAATTTACGTGATGTGAAATGATGCCTTGATCCAAGTGATTGGTTACTTAAAACAATTAGCTTTGAGAGTTTATATCGTGAACTGTCCCCAGTTTATCCCAAACAAAACACATGATAAATAAACACAAAACGCATCCTGCACAAGCATCCAGAAAACTTATTCATAATTTAATAAACAAGGGATGAGTACTGAGTAAGTGAATCTCATGAAATCTCCTAGCAAGTACTTTATATGAACAAATCGCATGGCTGTTAAATTGTGTTCGAATCAGTTAACGATTAAAATCCTAACAATGAATTGTGAATTTACAATCAATAAAACAAACTTACACCACGTGTTGGCGTCGGTCGAAAATTCGCATATTTCTGCTTGGAAAAACCGCAAGAATTAGCTACGTGTGTTGGGGAAACTGTGTCATCGTCGTCACGGACTACCAGAAAAGAACGAAACTTGCACATGGTAGCCTATGTTTAACGATTTTCTTGACTGAATTTGTTTCAAATTCAAATTATTTAAATGCGATTTCGTGCCGTTGTTTTTTTCAGGGCGAAATTTTAATTCAAATTACCATATGGTAACCATATTATAATTAACCAAATGTGAATTACAACATCGAAAATCAAAATAAAGTGTAGTGTTTTATTCAATAAGCGGAAGTCAGAGCAATAAAAAAGTCTGGATCGTCGGCATTGTGATCCGGTGGTTGCAAATCGTAGAAAACATCTTTTAGTTCTGAGAGCTCATTAACAACATTTTTAATTGCGTTGTAGTTTTTGGTGTAAAATACGACTGTATTTAATCATGGCCCCCACCTAGTTAGAACAGGTTATGGAGGCGGTACACAACAAATTGTATATGAATTAAAATGGAACTTTATTTTTAAGATGCCAAAAATGAAAAATTCTCTTAAAAATTGTCGCTTTTTTCGTAACATTGGCAACACCCTAATTTAATTTTTAATAATAATAATAATAATAAAATCCACCTTCTACTTCCCCGAACCTGAACACAACTCATCATCGTTAAAAATTAATAAAAACACAATTCTAGACCGATTCCAACAACTTTACGAGATTCCGGTTGTCCATTAAAGATTTCGTCAACATTAACCGCCACATCTGTCCCATATAATGCGCTAATTGAAAATTTATACCTTACATCAATTATCCGCCGCAACGATAATTCCCTACTTAATAATAATTGCACGAATTAATTATCCGGCCTCGTCTTTATAGCCAATAACAATATTTTACGTAATAAAAGCCGACGCACACGTATTTATCATTGCTTTTTAAAGTAAGACACGGTATTAATTTTAGCAATGATGTTCCGACCATAAATTGCATCGACTGCCCTCATTCTTGTTCTCGCAATTAACTTTGCGGACAATTTACATAAAAATTGGGGACCGCCAGCGAAAACAGGAATTCCTTGACGAGCTCTCGTAATTAATTAACGGAGGGGTTGAGACAACATTAAGGGAAAAACATTGTGTGGTATTATTTATCAGATAATTTCCATAAAATTGCCGTCCCTCCGGCGAAAACCCAATTCCTTAGCCGGTTCTCGCGATTAATTAGCACTTGCCCCCGATCCGGAAAACGAAGGGTTATTCATTTCGTCGAATTAAGGCGGTATCACTCGGCCTGGTTTGGGACAGTTTTCATCCCATTTGAAGTGTTCTGTAAAAACGAGAGAAATTGACTTAGGACGATAGTTTTTTTTTCTTAACAATCCTTATTAGACATATTTTGTCCCTCTTATATTAAAATTTGATTTTCAGTTCTGTTTTCTGTGTAAAAAAAAAGTAAAAACATGCAAAAATTACGACATTTACATTGCTGTTACAACGTACACTTTGTAGTGCGAAAATAGTATATTACGTAATGAGAGTTGTAAGAAGCATCTTACGCACGAATGGAAAAAGTTGCGCACGAGCCGCGAAGCGGCGAGTGCGTATTTCCATGAGTGCGTAAGGGCTTTACAACTCGAATTATGTACTATACTTTTTCTACGAGCACAGACAAAATCATTTTATTCATAAACATTAACATTTTAGTTTTATTAGATATTGTAATTATTTGTAGTAATTGTTTATTGTCACTGTACAGTTGTTAAACACAAGGGAATGGTCGGTAGTATTAGTTTTGTGGCTACTTGTACTCTGACTACAGGATCCAGTCACATTATGTTCTGAAATAGTGACATGGTTTCATTGTAGTTGACAACTCTTCAAAATATGCCAACATTACGTTTTCTGACAACGAATTTACTTTATTTTTTATTTTCCATTCCATAAATTTTTGGTAGACGATTTCATATCTTTCACGCGACTTTCTGGGCAATAGATTGTCGATAGCCGTTTTGGCCTTTTCAATTATCTCCGGCAGCGTGCACATTAATTCATCACTATCGCTAGACATTTTAGACTACAATTAAATAGAATCCGTAAAAAGAGAGAAATGTTGATATTTTTTGCAATAAATGTTACCTTGTTCGTTTTCTTCTTTTAAAATTCTTTGATTATGCCTCTTTTATTAACAGTAACGCTGACAAGTGCTTCACAATTTTGTATTTTCCTGTCCGTCTTGTCATTTTCACTACCAACCTAAACTGAATAAATCGAAAAATCCCTAACTGTGCGATTTGCTTTTCTTACGCACGCTGTGCGTAAGGACACGCATACATGATTAGCGAGTTGTGTGATCTTGACGATTTACAGTGGTGATCGTAGAAAAAAATTTAAAAAAGAGGTATCTACAACGAACCTTTCTTAACAGATTGCATCAATACGTTTTTTAATAAGTGTTACCAGTGAGTATAGATGTTAAATACATAGTCACTTGTGTTACACAATTCATATACAGCGTCAGCGTCAGTTAAGTAAACGCTGCAGATGAAAAAATTGCTGCAAGTTTTCAGCTGTACCTACTGCGATCTCTGTCACACAGTGCGTCGGACCTTCGGTCGGAAGTTGACCGTGAAATTGGGAAGACAGAGATTATACCTACCCTGACAAAAGAGGCTTCAAATTTTACTCGTTTTGTATAACTCTCCAAGTTTCGATTCTTTCGTCATTTTGTCAAAATAGACAATATTGGTGGAATTAAAAAAAATCAGCACAACACATTCAAAATTATTCGAAAGCTATCGGTGTTTTATATTTGATACTCAATGTAAATTGTTGAATTATAAAAATTGGTCTAAAGTTATTTAGACAGCACTTTCCTCGCTCTTGAAGTCCGGTATAACCTTTGAGTATATATATTAAATGGAGGAGGAGTGTTGTAGTCCCCACCACCGAAAATTGCAGGACAAGTGGCCGCCATATGCAAAGGTATTACAAGCGCGCTTTTTGAATAAAAGCCGGGATGCTAACAATCTTTAAGTCATTTTAATTGATATAAAATGATTGACAACAAAAAAAAATGGTTGGGCAATTAAATTAAAAAAAAAAAACGCCGAGTTTGATAGCTAATATTTATTTTATTACACGAAGACACACACGTTTTAGACTGAAGTCATTAGTTAATGCAATTAACATACAATATTTGTGAAATAAAATGAGTTTATTAAATTTATGTCGTTGTGACGTACACTTTTGTTGGATAATGGCACAATACTTCTTCCCCATGGTAGACTTTGTAAAACTTCTACAGCACGAAAACCAGACGAATATCGAAACGAATTCTACAACTAAAGTCAATTACTAGGTTAATTCCTAAATAAATGTATTTACTCACTTTGACTGAAAATTAAGCTGTCGCTAAACACGATTCAAAATACCAAACACCAAAAAAACAGCACATAAACAGCTAAAATGTTTACAAAATCACGAACAGCTGTTTACTGTCAACGGTAGGTTCCTGCGCAGATCGCATGAGTTTACCTTCCAATATGGCGGCATTCTATCTTTCCCTTTCCAGTACTTTAATCCCCCTCCATTTAATATATATACTCAAAGGGTATAACATATTCAGTTTTGTCAGATAATTGTAAGATTCGATTTAGAGATTTTTTGCTGATAACGCAGTAAAGAGATCATCTGGCGAATGACTAATTTTATGTTTTCTCGACGTTTCTCCATTTTATAACACAATTTTTGGTTTCTTTATTTTCTTTATTTTTTTGTTGTTTCATTTTTCAATTCCATGATTTTCCACGTTTAAAATTTTTCAATTTCCAGTTTTTGGATTTCCAGTCTTCTAATTTTTCAGTTTCTTTAATTTTCAATATTTTGATTTTACAATACATATTTCTTTTTTTTTATTTTTCACATTTTCGAATTTTAAGTTTTTTAATTTTTAATCTTAGGATTTTTCAAATTTTCATGTTTGATTTTCACTTTTTACATTTTTCAAGTTTTTATCATAAACTTTTTCGTTTTTTTATTTTTGATTTTTCAAGTTTACAGTTTCTTGACTTCTAAATTTTTCAATTTTTCGATTTGCAATTTTTTAATTTGGCAATTTTTCAATATTACAGATTTTCATTTTTCGATTTTTCAGTTTCTCAATTTTTCATTTTTCCCTTTTCCAATTTTTTGTTTAAGATTTTTATTTTTTATTTTCCCAATTTTTTAATTTTCACTTTTTCGATTTTATACCACAATTTTCCTTTTTTTGATTTCCTTTATTTTTGCTGTTTCTTTCGATTTTACAATTTTTCCTTTATTAAATTTTTCAAATTTTCAGGTTTTTAGCAATTTTTCTTCAAATTTTCAAGTTTGATTTTCACTTTGTACATTTTTTTTGGTTTTAATTAAATACACTTTTTCGTTTTTTTATTTTTGATTTTTCAATTTTACAATTTGTCGACTTCCAAATTTTCCAATTTTTCAATATTACAATTTCTCATTTTTCCTTTTTTCATATTCTCGATTTTTAATTGTGCCCTTTTTCAATTTTCCGTCCCCTCAATTTTTCAACACCCCGATTTTTATTTTGCATTTTCCTGATTTTTTATTTTTCATTTTCTCGATTTTATGTCACAATTTTTTGTTTTTTCAATTCCTTAATTTTTGTTGTTTCTTTCGATTTTCCAATTTTTCGTTTATTCAATTTTTCAAATTTTCAGGCCAATCGATTCCAATTCGTCGTTTTTACAATTTTTAAATTTTTCAGATTGCAGTTTTTGGGTTTCCACCCCTTTTTTACTTTTTGGATTTTCAATTTTTAGTTAAACTAGTTAGTTAGATTTCTCAAATTTTCGACAGTTTTATACTTCGATTTCTTAATTTTGTTTCACCTTTTCGATGTTTTAATTTTTCTTTTTTAAAATTGTGCAATTTTTTTTATTTCTCTATTTATCGAATTCAGACGTTTGGATGTTTTGATTGCACAATTTCTCAATTTATCAATTTCTCAATTTTTACTTTTTCTCGATGTTTCGATTTTTGGATTTCTTGGTTTTTCGATTTTCCAGTTTTTCGATGTTTCAATTTTTCAGTTATCCGATTTTTCAATTTTTTTAAATTCTGGAGTTTCGATTTGTCAATTTTTCAGTTTTTCGATTTTTAAGTTTTAGACTTTCGAATTTTTCAATTTTGTGATATTTCAATTGTTCAATGTTTTAAATTTTAGATTTTTCGATTTCTGGATTTTTTGATTTTCCAGTTCTTCAGTATTTCTATTTTGCAGTTTTTCAAATTTTGACGTTGCTAAATTTTCAGTTCTTCAATTCTTCAGTTTTTCGTTTTTTACACTTTAGATTTTTCAGTTTTCGCCTGTTTTATATATATGTATTGCGATTTGTGAATTTTTCGAATTTTTAATTTTTTGAGAACTCGATTTATCGAGATTCGGATGTTTCGATGTTTTGATTGTCTCAGTTTTTGAATTTTTCGATGTTTCGATTTTTCGATTTATCGGTTTTTCGTTTTTTTACTTTTCGGCGTTTCGATTTTTGAATTTTCAGATTTTTCAATTTCCAATTTTTTAAATTTTCAAGTTTTTTACGTTTCTGAATTTTCAGTCTTCCGATTTCTCAATTAATCAATTTTTTGGTTTTCCTATTTTCGACTTGCGAAGGTTTCGATTTTTCAGTTTTTCATTTCCTCAATTTTTCGATTTTTCAGGGTCCAGATTTTTCAATTTTTCGATTCTTTGGGTTTGCAATTTTTCGGCTTTTCGATTTCCCAATTTTTCAATTTTTTAATTTCCCAATTTTTGGATATTTCGTTCAATTTTGTGAGTTTTCTCAGTTTTTCGATTCTTCAATTTTTCAATTTTGGGTTTTTTTAGTATTTCGACTTTTGGATTTTTCACGTTCTGGATTTTTCGATTTCTGGCTTTTTACTTTTTGGATTTTCAATTTTTCGTTTTTTGATCTTTCGGTTTTCACAATCTTTCAACTTGTCGATATTTTAAGTTTTCAATTTTTAAAATTTTAAGTTTTTCGATTTCTCGAGTTTTCAGTTCTTCTATATTTGAATTTTTCAATTTTCGAAATTTAAAGTTAATTATAAGTTACTTTTTTAAAAGACATATTAGAAGAACACAAACAAAAACAGAGTAAGATACGGTACTAATAAAAATACAGGGTGTGAGTGAGAATTTAAAAATTTGGCGATTGAAATTCCATTTATCATGGGATTGTTTTTGCCTCAAATTTACATCTGATTATCTTTCCACCCAATTAACCATTCGTTATGATGATTCACTAGATGGGACACGAAAACTCAAAAAAAGGTTACATTTGTGATTTCCGGAGAATTTCGGATGCAGCATGCACAAACACTCCACCCTCTTCCAGTGGTCCAGACCAATTTTCATTAAAACGTCGCAAGCGTCTACTGTTATTTGATGCGGTCGTTTCGAAAGAGCGACAACATTCTACCTCCTAAACGCACGGAACAACGGTAGCAATAGCAGGCGTTAAGATATTTGATAAGTGACTAGAGAGTGTTTGGACTACGTGAAGAGTTATTTATGCTCAACTGTTGTGTGACAATTCTGAGTGATACCACCTTAAGAGAGGAGCGGAGTTTAAGTCCGTGCCTCATTATTTAAATTCGAGTAATAACCCCTCATCAGCTAAGAACGTGTTTGAATGTAAATCGAAGGGCGTTTGGTTTTAAATAAAGACCTGTTGGTGGTGGTTTTTTGTTTCCGACTGTTTAAAAGTTAAAACGTAGAAACTTCTCGTGGGTTAATTTATTAGATAAACATCTAAGGCTAATTATTTATACCTGAGGTTTTAACAGCAAATCTGATGGGGTTATTGGGTGTTATTAAATAATAATCACTGGTGCAGCTGGCCCTTCCTGGAAGCTTTTCCGTGCTCGGAATGTCAAATTGGAGAGTCCGAATTGTGAACCTATGATTTCCGGGGTGTTGCAAAAAGGGTTTGTCTAACCGCAACCCCGACGCAATTAGGTGTCTGTGTGTCTTGTCTGGGAGAAGTGTGTCAATGGACGAGGAATGTTACAGGTGGTCTTATAAATTACGGATATTATGTGCTTGGTCGGATTTTTGGCATTTTTATTTCGATAAGCCGATGATTTTTAATTCATTTCTGAGTTTAATGGAATATTAGTGTACATTTGGGTGCAGTTGATTTAATGGAGGGACAGCTGACTCCTTAAAGGTGACTGACTCTAAGTCGTTCGTTTAATGTTTGCTTGGTGATTTATCAAAAACGAAAATCAGCAGCCATAAATATATAAAACGTCTGGAAATGTTTTTATCCGGAAGGGTGTGGTTTCGGTTTATTATATTTCTAGACCATACAAGATAAGTACTTTAGATCACGCGTCAGTACACTTCAGAAGAGGAGGAACCACACACTCGCATTTAATCTTCTCGAAATTTTTGAAGTTGGCTTTTTCAAAGTACTGTCCGACTTTCACATCTTTTTGACCAAACTTGCAAATTTCCTGTGTCTTGGCGTCGCCTTTCAAAATTTCACTGTCGTCAGCTGAAATAAACCACTTTTGGGCATCAAGATCTAGACAGAACTAAATTTCTTACAACAGATCCAATCTTCTGGACAACAAAGTACTTCTCCAGACCGTGCCTTGGTGTAAAATGGAGCACAAGAGGTCTGAATTTTTCGCCCGTCCCTTCGGAGTTGTTGTCCACAGCGGCGTCGCTTACAGAATGGTTCTTCGAATTTTCCTTTAAAACCCTTTTGGCAGACGCAGTCCAGACAGGTGTTGGCTGGATAGAACTTTTGCCCTTCTTTGTATTCTTTGCCTTCTACTGTGCATTTCTCGATGTTGGAAGAATCTAGAAGGTGAAAACAGAGAACATAGAGAAGCGTCATAGTTTAAATTAAATGACGGTTGAGCACTCCTCCACTTATGTTGGCAACAGTGTTTGTTTCTAACTAGGAATAAAATTAACTATAATACAAAGACAAATTGACACTAGATTTACCAGAATATTACAAGCTGCTTATAAACTCTTTATTTGTCGATATTTTAATTAATTGATTTTTCAGGTTTTTTGGTTTTTCAACTTTTCTATTTTTTCAGGTTTCGATTTTTCAACTTCACTTTTGATTTTTCGATTTCTCAATTTTTCAATTTTTTAATTTCTCAGTTTTTGAAAATTTCGGTTTTTGGATTTTTCAGTTTACTTATTATTCAGTTTTTTGATCTTACGATTTTGCAGGTTTTTGATTTTTCAATTTTACGATTTTTTCAGGTTTCGATATTTCGACTTCACTTTTTTGATTTTTCGATTTCTCAATTTTTCGATTCTTCAGGTTCTCAGTTTTTGGATATTTCAGTTTTTCGATTCGTCAGTTTTTCTTTCATTTGTTAGTTTTCTGATATTTCAATTTTGGGATTTTTCAATATTTGTTCTTCGACTTTTCCATTTTTGACTTCTGGATTTTTCGATGTGTCGACTTTTTGCTTTTTCAATTTTTAAATTTTAGATTTCGCAATTTTTTGGTATTTTAATTTTTCAATATTTGAAATTTTAGATTTTTCGATTTCTGGATTTTTCATTTCAGTTCTTCGATATTTCAGTTTTTCAAGTTTTAGAATTTTTCAAATGTTTTGATTTCTTAATCAATCGATTTTTCGACTTCCCGGTTTTAGCTTTACTGTTTTTCAATTGTCGTTTTTTCAAATTTTCGATTTTTCAATTTTTCAAATTTGACATTTATAAACTGTCAATTTTTCGATTTTTCAATGAATCGATGTTTTGATTTTCCCATTTCTTGACTTTCGAGGGTTTCCATATTCCTGTTCCTCAATTCTTTAATTTTTCGATTTTTCAGGTTTTTGATTTTTTAATTTCTTTAAGGTTTCAGTTTTTCAACTTCACTTTTTGGCTTTTCGATTGCTCAAATTTTCGACTTTTTAGATTCTCAGTTTTTGAATATTTCAGTTTTCGGATTTTTCAGGTTTTCCATTTTTCAGTTTTTCTTTCATTTTGCAGCTTTTCGATAGTTCAGTTTGGGATTTTTCAATATTTCAATTCTTCGACTTTTCGATTTTTGGCTTCTGGAGTTTTCGATGTGTCGATTTTTTTACTTTTTCGATTTTTTAATTTTTCGATTGCTTAATCTTTCGATTTTTCGACTTTCCGGTTTTAGATTTTCTGTTTTCAATTGTCGTTTTAAATTTTTCGATTTTTCAATGTTTTGATTTCCCTATTTTGTTTCCCATTTTTCGTTTTTCTTTCATTTTTCGGTTTTTCGATATTTCAGTTTTGGGATTTTTCAATATTTCGATTCTTCGACTTTTCGATTTTTGACTCCTGGATTTTTCGATGTGTCGATTTTTTACTTTTTCGATTTTTAAATTTTAGATTTTTTAATTTTCAAAATTTTAGATTTTTCGATTTCTCGATTTATCATTTCAGTTCTTCGATATTTCAGTTGTTCAACTTTTCGAATTTTTCAAATGTTTCGATTTCTTAATCTTTTGATTTTTCGACTTCCCGGTTTTAGATTTTCTGTTTTTCAATTGTCATTTTGTCAAATTTTAGATTTTTTAATTTTTCAAATTTGACTTTTATAAACTCTCAATTTTTCGATTTTTCAATTAATCGATGTTTTGATTTTCCCATTTCTTGACCTTCGAGTGTTTCGATTTTCCAGTTCTTCAATTCTTTAAATTTTTGATTTTTCAAGTTTTCGAATTTTTCAAATATTTAGATTTCTTAATCTTTTGATTTTTCGATTTCCCGGTTTTAGATTTTCTGTTTTTCATTTGTCAGTTTGTCAAATTTTCGATTTTTTAATTTTTCAAATTTGACTTTTATAAACTCTCAATTTTTCGATTTTTCAATTAATCGATGTTTTGATTTTCCCATTTCTTGACCTTCGAGTGTTTCGATTTTCCAGTTCTTTAATTCTTTAATTTTTTTATTTTTAAGGTTTTTGATTTTTCAGTTTTTCGATTTTTTAAGGTTTCTACTTTTCGACTTCACTTTTTTGATTTTTCGATTTTTCAGTTTTTAGATATTTCAGTTTTAGGATTTTTCAATATTTCAATTCTTTGGCTTTTCTATTTTTGACTTCTGAATTTTTCGATGTGTTTACCATTTTACTTTTGCGATTTTTCAATTTTTGGAATTTTAAATTTTAGAATTTTTAATCTTCTGATATTTTAATTTTTCAGTATTTCTTAATCTTTCTATTTTTCGACTTCCTGGTTTTAGATGTTCTGTTTTTCAATTTTTCGATTTGTTAATTTTTCATTCCCGATTTATCGAGATTTGATTGTTCAGGTTTTCGATTGATCATTTTTTCAATTTTTTATTTTGCCCTATTTCGGTTTCTCAGTTTTTCTAGTTTTCCATTTTTTCGTTTTTTGATTTTTCCGCTTTTCCAATTTTTCAACTTTTAACTTTTTGTTTGTCGATTTCTCTATTTTTCGATTTTTCGACTTCATCACTTTTCGATTTCTCGTTCTTTGGATCTTCCAATCTCTCAATTTTTCAATTTTTCGAATTTTTAAGTTTTTTAATTTCTCGATTTATCGAGATTTGGATTTTTCGATATTTTGATTGTCAATTTCTCAATTTATAAATTGTTCAATTTTTAACTTTTCGATTTTTCGATTAGATTTCTCGATTTTTCGAATTTTCGATTATTTTAATTGTTCATTCTTTTTGTCACTGTTAACATCATACAGTGTATCGAAAACAACCACAAAAATGGTCACTAAAAACAAAACAAAAAATTCATACAAAATAGAACAGTGTTTCCAAAATGTTTTCCCGAAAAAAATCCATTGGGTTATTACGATTTCAAAAATATTCTTAGTTTAAGACGTTTTGCTAGTATAAAACACAAATAAAGAATTAATTCTTAGTTAAACAAAATATGTAAAATCATCTAAATATGTACCAAAAATATTCACTTATTCGTTATAAAAACCGACCAAACAACTATTTCCCGCAGAAATTATAGTCTAAACCAACCAAATCGCTTCTGAGCGCTTAGAGTCGACTTTGGCCTGAGCGCGCTCTCTGGTCTGTAAATCAAACAAGTTCTCAGGCGACGAGTTGTAGTGAATCGCATCTATATTAATCTCTGGTGAAAATGTAGATGATGTTGATATCAAATAGATTTTTTTTACCGCAGATTTCACCGGTGGAACAGCAGTCGTCCAAGGAATATTTTCTGTAGCAACCAGGTGTTACAGGGGCGCCAAGCCATTCCGGGCAGTCGAGAACCGCACAGATAAATCGAGAACTAAAAAGAAAACCCTAAAATAAAATTTTGGGTTTGTGATAGTCGTACATATTTTCGTCTGGTGAGCAAAAGCAGCCGATATCGCACGGTGGAGATGTTAAACTGTTGTCTACTAATTCGTGTTTCCTGTAACTTTTTCCCCGGAAGTAGCAGTGTCCATCGGGTTCTCCCAATCCAGTGCAGGTGTATTTAACTGGGCAATCTTGATCATCGCTACCATGTTCGGGAACGCAGCCTAAATCTTCGTAGATCAGAAGTCCAAGTGAGTCACATTTTTTCCCTAGATGATGAACTCTGAATTTTGATGTGTATTTTTGTTGAATAGCTCACCTGAAATGGATGCTATAGATACCACGAAGAAAAATATCTGCAGGAGTAATTTTGTTTTGAGCATTGTGATCTTTCGATTTGAAGCAATCAGCACAACAATGACTGTATTAAGAAGGAAAACAGTGGAAGAAACTTCATATTTTAGTTATCTTGTCGATAACGCTGTCAACAAAAACCAACGGACTTATCTTAGGTTCAAGTTCAAAGAATCACACCAGGTCAACACAATCTTATTAAAAACTGTTGTTTACTTGTACTTCAGTTCGAAGCAATTTTAAAGAAAATGAAAAACTATGTCCCTAAACTTTTGCAAGTGCCACTATCATCATTAATAACTTTACTCCTCCCCTCGCTAATCATTTGATAAATGACCCCAGCATGCAAAATACGCAACCGCCCAGCTGGCCCAAGACACCGAATAAATTACCACCGAAACTCGATCCTTGGTCCAAAAACAAAAACCCAATCAACAATTCCGCGTACGCGCGCTCCGATTAAAAACAATATAATTAATTATCCAAATATCGACATGCAGAACGTTTCGAAAGCGCATCGCCGGCAGCTAATTAAAATAGGAAGCTGAATCGAGCAAACTGGCCCGAAAACGCACCCGGAAGCGACCGGAGAAATGTGTATTTTTTTTAATTATCGTCCGCCTCACCTGGATGCAAATCGCCGAAAAAATAAACGAGCTAACGAGTTTGCGGGTGGACGAACGACACGTGGCCCCCTTATTTCAGTCAGGCTTGACGGCTATTCAAAGTATTCGTTAAACATGATTTAATCCCAGATCAGTCACTGCGAGGAACAAAAAGGCGGTTATGAAAATCGCATACCTTATGCGCGCAATCAGCGGATGTGTGCTGTGCATCTGCACAAAAACATGTGCGAGGCAGTGGCGGAGGAATGTGGGATGTGGGGGAGAGAAAGAGGATTTTTGCTTCCTGAGTGGCGGGTAATTGTTTCGGTATATTTATTTTATCATTTTATTTTATAGGTACTTATGTATAAGAAGGTTAAATGGGTTCTTCCAAATTCTGTTTGAGATGCTTTTGTTGGAAATAGTATTGAGCATTGGCGATGCATTTCGATACAGAAGAATCCGAAAGAATACGAAAGATTCCGTATGAATACGGTAGTATCGGAGAGAATTTGAGAGATTCCGTCAGAATCCGACAAAATCCGAAAGACAGAGCGAATCCGGAAAAATTCGAAAGAATACGGAACAATGTGAGACGTTAGGAAAAAATCCAACAGAATCCGGATAAATACTCAAAAATCCGAGAGCGTCCTAGATAATCCGGTAAAAAAATAAAAAAAAAAATCGAAAGGAGACGCAAACATCTGAGAAAGTACGGAATAATCCGAGTGAATCCATGTGAATACGAAAAATTCCGTGAGAATCGGAGAAAATTTGGGAAAATCTTAAAAATCCGGAAGAATAAAAATAATCTTAGGAAATCCGACATAATCCATGTGAATACGAGAGAATACAAAAAAATTCAAGAGAATTGGATAGAATTTGGGAAAATCCTAGAAAATATCAAGGAATCCGAGAGAATTTGAAAGAATATGGACGAATATTAGAGAATACAAAAAATCCAAGAGGATCGTTGACAAATCGAAATAAACCGAAAGGATCCAAAAAAATCCGAAAGAATATGGAAGAATACTAGAGTCTACGAAAAAACCCAGGTGATTCGGCGAGAATTCGAGACAATTCGAGAGAATCCGAAAGAACCTGAAAGAATACGGTAAGTATTGGAAAAAATTTTAGAGAATCCAAGAAAATCCGAAAGAATTCAGAAGAATCCGAGGAACTGAGAGAGAATCCGAAGGAATATGGAACAATAAGGGAGAATACGACAACATCTAAGATAATCCTGGAGAATTCAAAAGAATCAAACAGAATCTGGATAAATACTTAAAAAATTCCAAGAAATTCGAAAGGAAATGAAAAAATCCGAGAAAATACGAACTAATCCGAGTGAATCCATGTGAATACGAAAAATTCCGGGAAAATCTTGAAAATCCGGAAGAAAAAAAAATCCGAGGGAATCCGATATAATCCGTGTGAATACGAGGGAATACGAAAAAATCCAAGAGAATCGGACAGAATTCAGGAAAATCCTAGAAAATACTGAAGAATCCAAGAGAATAGAAAGAATACGAAAAAATTCAGCAAAATCGGAAAAAAATCGAGAAGATTCGAAAGAATATGGAGGAATATTAGAGAATATAAAAAATCCAAGAGAATCGTTGAGAAATCGAGATAATCGGAAAGGATCTAAAAAAATCTGATACAGAGTCCGAAAGAATACGGAAGAATACTAGAGACTACGAAAAAACCCAGGAGATTCGGACAGAATTCGAGAGAATTCGAGAGAATCCCAAAGAATCGGAAAGAATCCGGTGGTATCGGAAAGAATTTTAGAGAATCCAACAAAATCCGAAAGAAAATGAAATAATAAGAGAGAAAACGACAACATCTAGGATAAAAGTTGAAGAGAATTCGAAAGAATTAAACAGAATCCGGATAAATACGAAAACATCTGAGAACCCCTTCATGTTGATTCCGGCTAACTTCAGCTAATAAACTTAAGGCGTGAGCCAAACACGTTACATGAATTAAGTTGGGATAAAATATTTCCAGATGTTTGCCACATTTCACCATATAATCCGGAAGAATTAAAAAAAATCCAATAAAGTAATTTGAAATTTTTTGAAATTGAGTTTATTGGTGCATAATACATAATACATACATGTTTTGCACAGGTCAGCGAATACAAATTACCAAATTCTTAAAACTATATTTTACCAAAGTCACAATTCCAAAATTCTTCTATGCTATATAGTGCCCGATTTGTTAAAAACATTTTTATTTTACTTTTAAATTTACTAGGTGGCAAATACTTAACATAATCGGGTAAAGCGTTATAGAAACGAATTCCGAGGTATCTGTTGTCACTTTGAGTTCTGGTTAAACGTACATACTCTGGATAGATATTGTCATTATTCCTGGTGTTATATAAATGTACTTCTCTATGAGTTCTGTAAGTATTGATATTTGTCTTAATATAATTTAGACATTGCAAAATAAATAATGATGGAAATGTCAAAATCTGTAGTTTGCGAAATGCGTTTTGACAGTCATCTTTATATTTCAAGTTGGCAATAACTCTAACAGCTCGCCTCTGCAATGAAAACAAGCGATGATGTATGGAAGAATGACCCAAAACCATAATACCATAGCATAAAATGGACTGAAATAATGCAAAGTACGCAGATAATATAGTTTCTTGTGGAACGCGTTCTTTTAATTGTCGGAGTAAATACATTATCTTTATTAATTTGGCAGCCAATGTTTCTCCATGCGAATGCCATAAAAGTTTGTTGTCAATATTAATTCCCAAGTGGTACTAGTTTTCTCCGAATCCACTTTGCAGTCTTTAAGAGTAAATAGTATCTCTACGGATTTACTGTCATTAAGTAGTAGTTTATTACTGTTAAACCAGTTTTTAACCTTTGACTGACTTTCAAGATCGATTGAAATCACAATATCCAAATTATCACCAGTAGTTAGTAGCGATGTATCATCCGCATAAAGTATTGACAGTGTTTTGTCAATAGAACCAGGTAAGTCGTTTATGTAAATCAAGAAAAGAAGTGGGCCTAAAATAGATCCTTGGGGTACGCCGCATTTTACTGGCAAGAATGTGGACGTTGTATTTCCGTATATAACTTTTTGTACTCTACTTGACAAGAATGAAGTTATCAATTTGCAGCTGGTAGGATGGATGTTATAAGCAAACATTTTCCTGATTAAAATATCGTGCGGAACGGAATCAAACGCTTTTGAGAGGTCTAGGAACCTGCCTATAGCAAAGTTGCCTTTTTCAAAGTTTGTTTCCACTGCAGAGACAAACTGCATGAGCGCATCAGATGCACCCCGCTCTCTCCTGAAACCAAACTGATTATTAGTGAACAGCCCTTTTAATTCAAAGTATTCTGATAGTTGCATTGCCAAGATTTTCTCCAATATTTTTGACAGGATTGGTAATAGCGATATTGGTCTGTAATTTCCCGTGTCGTTGGAGCTTCCCTTTTTATATATTGGAACTATAACAGCTTTCTTTAGGCAGTTTGGAAAAACCGAGAGCTTGATGCACAAATTAACCAGTCTAGTTAGAGGAACCACAATCACATCCTTTACACTTTTGATGATTTCTACGTTCATACCATAGATGTTCCTACTTTTCTTATTCTTTAAACTGTTGATGGTGTCTCGCACGGTGACACAAGATACCTCAGAAAAATAAAAATGGGTATTCAACTTAATAAAATTTAAACATTTAACATTTTTACACATTAAAATGACAGGGTCAGTATTTGATGGCGGAATGTTTTGTATAATCCTAGATGCCATGTTAGAAAAATATGAATTAAACTCGCTAGCCGTTAACTTACAGTTATTTGAGTCACTTTTTGCATTACATTTTCGTGTTTTATTAATTAAAGACCACATTGCTTTTTGTTGGTTATTGCAGGATTTAACATAATTATCATTGGCCTCAAGCTTAGCGATTTTAATACTATTTCTGTAACATTGTCTAAAGCTGTTCCTTTCCTTCTTTACTTCCATATTCATTGTTATTCGGTATAATCCACATAAATATTGATAATGACTTCTTAATTTACAGAGGTTTTGTTTAAACCATATAATCTTTTTCTTCCTAGTTTGACTAACAATTTGCTTTTTTGGGAAGCAGATGCATACATACATTTCTAAGATGTTGACAAAATTTTAATAATAATAATAATAATAATATGTATTTAATGTCGAAAAAGATACAAAATCCATAAGACATATCGAAAATAGAACTAAACATGTGCAAACTAATTACAAAAAAAAAGAAATACATAAAAACTAAAAATAATTAATCCATACAACTTAAAGGTAGCTGTTTAAAGAAGATAAAGTTACATTAAAAAAGTCCAGATTATTTGAAATTTTGTTTATAGATCTAACTATATTATCCATAGGTGCATGAAACGTAAAATTAGTACGATGAAATCTAGGTATAAAAGTTTCAGAGCAACGAGAACCTAATCTAGG